TTAGTAATTACATTTTATATTTTATGGATTCAATTAAAATTTATGTCTAATAGATTTTTTATTAATTTTTTTTTTTTTAAACGAAGACATTAAAAAAGATATATTGAAAAAATTCTAATAGTTCTATGAAAATGGTACATTTTTTCTTTTTTTTGTCGCTTTTCTTGTTTCTCATTCTGTATGAGAAAACATATAAAAAAATGTACTCAGAAAAATATTAATAGGTATTAATACTATAAAAAAAGCTAGTTTTTAAATTATAATAAATATAAAATTGAAATATTTTATTAAACATGATTTAAATTATAAATAAAAACAAAATACAATTACAATTTTTTTTTTTTTTTTTAATAAAGGGGTATGTTAGTCTGCTTAGTATAAGATTTTGAATGTAATTCGTCACTAAGTATGTATCACTGTGATTAATAATGTGTTAAATTTGAATTGATAATGAAATATTACGTTAGAAAAACAAATGTAAAAGGTGACGGTACGATAGTAAAGTTCACCCCACCAACGTATGCAATCGACTACAAACTAAAGTTTTCAAATTAATTGTAAATAGTTATTAATTGGGTTTCGCAATGTGCAAATTACTATAAACGCTGCAGAAATTGTTTTTAATGTTTTTACTAAAATATATACCTGTATTATTTTTATTAAGTACCTGTAATATTTACACCAAATATCAATGAAAATAAATAATTAAACAAACAGTTTTTACTAATTGAATAAATATATAAATGTACCAATAAATTAAAACTTTCCACGTTTTATTTTGATTTTATGTTTAAGTATTAATACCAAAAAATGTATTTGTTAATCGCAGTGTATATGTCGTAGCCACTTGATGAAATTGATCTTTTCATGAAAAGATAACCATTTCATGAAATAGAAACAGATTTTTTACACTTCGTGAAGTTCAAAAATATTTCACATTATGGTCACTTTTTCATGAAATGGTCACATTAATTTAACATCGTGTAATTTTTTTCACAATGTGGTCGTTCACTTTTTATACTGAAAATTGAAATACAATATTTATTACACACGTAAATGTACAAGCTTTAATAAACATAAATGTAAGTTATTTTTTTCTAAAGAACACGTAAAGTTTGATTATATCCGTTAACTAGGTAGGTACGTGACACGTGTCTATATAAAATAAAACAAATACTATCTATATTCTATACGACTATTATACTGCAATTACCGGACTATCCGAAATATGTAAATAATATTTTATTGGTTTTGATAAAAGTCATAATAGGATAATGTCATACCAGTATTTTAGTTATACTTTGATGCTCAAGTTTTTAGTAATTGCTGTGTGGATCATTCGATCGTATTCTATTACAATTATCTACTGTCATTGATTTTTTAGGAAGAAATAAATTTGAATTTTAACAAACTTTGAAAATTGTTTAAAAATCAATGGCTTAACCTAATTCAAAGTTTTAAACGCTTAAATTATTTTTAAAAATTTATTTATAAAATATATCTTGGAATTTAAAAAAAAAAGAGTTTTTACATTTGTTGATTGGTCAAATAGACGAGTTACACCATGTATTATAAGAAAACAAATAAATAAACTTAGTAGGTATAATGTATATGTAGGTACTTACGTTAATTTAGCGTCAGTAATTTCCATAATTATCGACTCGATTTTTTCAGATGTATATGGCTTTTTACCAGGCTTATCCAAATAATATTTATCCATTTTTTGGTAAAACTGAGTTTTTTCATTAAAGTTATCCATTTTTAATATACTACGTAGAGATAGAATACAGTAGATAATTGTAATAGAATACGATCGAATGATCCACACAGCAATTACTAAAAACTTGAGCATCAAAATATAACTAAAATACTAGTATGACATTATCCTATTATGACTTTTATCAAAACCAATAAAATATTATTTACACATTTCGAATAGTCCGGTAATTGCAGTATAATAGTCGTATAGAATATAGATAGTATTTGTTTTATTTTATATGGACACGTGTCACGTACCTACCTAATTAACGGATATAATCAAACTTTACGTGTTCTTTAGAAAAAAATAACTTACATTTATGTTTATTAAAGCTTGTACATTTACGTGTGTAATAAATATTGTATTTCAATTTTCAGTACACAAAGTGAACGACCCCATTGTGAAAAAAAATTACACGATGTTAAATTAATGTGACCATTTCATGAAAAAGTTACCATATTGTGAAATATTTTCGAACTTCACGAAGTGTAAAAAATCTGTTTCCATTTCATGAAATGGTCATCTTTTCATGAAAAGATCAATTTCATCAAGTGGCTACGACATATATACTTACAAGTTACAAATACTGAACTATTTGACCTAATTTTCATAAATTATTAATAAGATCATGAATATTGTAGACTCGTTAATAATTTGTTAATTAAATATTATTATTAAAAGGGAAAAAAATTAAAAATTAAAATTGTATCAGATAATAATTAATATTTTGTCACCTACTATATTTATTTATAGTTACTTTTTTTATAAATCATCATTAATGTATGAACGAATAAATAACAAAAAAATGATTCAATATAGACATTCGAAATAAATCGAACTCATAGTAGCTAAAAAGCAACGAAATAAAATATCAACAATTTTAAAGTCCTCTCTACTTGTCCAAGAAATTTATTCCATACATTTCATCAATTAATACTCGTTTTAAAGGAACTGGTGTATCTTGACAAACGAGTGAAAAGCTTTATCCAGTGATAATCGTTTAAAAATAAAAAAATTACCTCAAAAGCTATTAAAAATTTAAAAGATATATTCAAAATTCTCATGGGAAAGGGTTTATGAATTTTTGATACCCATGATATAATATCGATTCGAAATTCCTTACTGCTTGGTAGTTTCTGAAGCTATTGGATTTTCATCAAAACTTTGAACCATCAATCGAACTAGTGATAATGTAAAAACATGAATTTTAAAATGACGATAGAAATAGATACATTCTGTAATATTATGTAGGTATAATATGTTAATATGTCATACATTTTAAAATGTTGTATATACAGTTAAAATTATACTTTACCAATCGTACTTTAATGTGGAACTACTAGTATTATTAAAATATATTTTTTATATAAAGCAATTTTTAAAACCTTATTTTACTTATTTTCAATAAATATAATATTTTTATAATAGCGATGATTATGGTTTAATTGCATAAAAAAAAAATCGGTGTATTTTCCAATTTTAATCATATAATAATACTCGGAATATTCGCAACAGTTTGCAAATAAAACTATCAATATAATATTAAATAAATATCTAGGTAATTAGTAAATTGACATTTTTAGAAAAATATTCTCTTTATCAAGTTTATTTTTTTTACAATATAAATACAGAGAAAAGCTATTTAATATAATAAAATAATAATATTATTCAATATTTAAAATTCTGAATATTAACAAAAATATTGGCTAAATCATATTTTAAAATAATCAGTCTGTGTGCAATGTACACATAAATCATTTAAAATTAAATTTCGCACAAATCAGATACACGCTTTTAGTATTTTTGATCAACGTGAGATGTTGAACGTTACTATGAATCTACATTTATTTTTTGTTGAAACTTGTACAATTTTTATATGTTATCTATTAATATTAGATAAGCTTTTACGAGTTTAATGGCTTTAATTTCGGAATTTGTGATGTTTGCTCAGAATTATACGTTTATTGTAAAATAAGAATTTAATCAATATAAATATTAATCATTACCTCGTTTTATTTTTTTTTTTCAACTGAGGTTATAATATCATCTGTAATATAAATCAACAGAAAATCATTTTTTTTTATTTACTTTATGAGTCAATGGGAAAACTTAAGTCTCCCGGGAAAAAATTATTAGAAATATTTCAGAACTAATATAATATTCTATATTTATTAGAATTCATAATATTTATTTTTAATTTTTTTTTCACACGCGTCTATGTATATTTTAACGATATTTTTTTATATGTACTACTACGGATAATTTTTTACTGATATATATAGTCTTTATTGATTTATTTGTCCTTTCAGAAAGTAAAAACAATACTAATTAATGTTCATGATAAAAATAAAGGCTTAGGGCTACAATTTATATTTAAACTCATTGTGATTCAAAATTTGAAAAAGGGACTGAAGTGGACAATATTTATTATTAGGTATGTAACGCTTTGATTTCGCTCCCGTGTTCTATACAACAGATAATTTATGTGTTTTTAATAAAAGGAATGTTGGCGTGCGTGTGTAAGCGATCTACCGCCTAGTCCATCGCACTCATTGTTCTGAAATTTGGTACGCACATGGTACATAGGTAATCCCATACCCGAAGATGTGCTCCTCGGGTTCGATTTTAAAATCTTGCATTTTAAAGAGGATCGCTTACGTATAGGTATTTGTTGGCTAACGAAAAACGAATATTTTTATGATTTATTAGGATTACCTACCATGAACTGGTCACGTGAAACAAAATAGGTAGTTATTAAAATATTACGCATGACTTAAGAATAATATTTTACATTTAGTCAAAACCGCCCAAATTACTGTGTTAAAAACATGTACATAGCTTTCGTTTTACGGAGTTTAAAACGACAGGGTAAATCCACAAGCGTCGCATTTAATTTATGTCACGGTAAACGCCGTACTTAACGTCCTATAACCTAACGCGTTTTGTTTTGCCTTTTTTTTTTTACACAACGATAAACGTAATATATTTCGGTGGGTCACGGGGGGGGGGGGGAAATATTAGTTACCGCGGGCCAGCTCGGACAATAGTTTGGGAAACGTTGGTCTACGCTGTTTCAATAGATCGATGCAAGTGCGGGCGAAATCTACGGGTGACACCGCGTACGGGATCAGCCGTTATGATATATTAGCGCACGACGCTAATAGTGTTTTATAGCTTATAAATAATAAATAATAATAATATATTGTCATCTGATGGCGCGACGTCGCGTTTTGGCCGACAGGTGTTGGTGCGGCACGAAGAGCTCCGGTACAGGAAACACGTGCGCGTGGTGCGCGTGCTGCTGATCAACGTGATCGTGGTGCTGGTGATGTGGCTGCCGATCACCGTGGTGATGTGCCTCATCTACGTGGACGGCAGCCGGGACACGGAGGACACGGGCTACTTCCTGCGGTCGCACCACTTCATCATGGGCCTGCTGTTCGCCCTGCTCAACACGGTCGTCAACCCGATCCTGTACGGCGTGCTGTCCGAGAACTTCCGCAAGTGCTTCGCCCGGCTGTGGTTCATATCGAAGCGCCGGCGGGCCATGCACAGGGAACTGCTGGACAACGCCAGCAAGGGCGGCGCCCGGACGCCCAGCAACGGCCACTACAACTCGACGCTGCAGCCGGGCAGCTCGGCGTCCGTGGTCGAGCTTCCGGTCACCGCGATCGTGTCGTCGTCCGCCACCAACGAGTGTTGGTGATGGGAGGGGGCACCGGCGAGGGCGCGGAACGCGTCGGTCGACGGCCACGCGGTCGCTATTTTTTGAAACGTAAATCATTATTATTATTATTATTATTATTATTCTCTGCAACATCGTCAAGCGTTCCCCCAAACGTTATGATTTATATATTTATATAGGTGACATACAACTCCTGTACAACCCCCCCCCCTTTGCTATAATCGTACGGTCGACGTCGATAAATGCTCTTAGACTCGTCGGCCGTGTCGTCTTGTCGGGGCGGTACGCGCGTGGGTGTTTAAGGACCGTTCGATTGCGAGGGGGCATGCGTACCTACGACGTGTTTGCGGCGCGAATCGCACGGGCGCTGCGATAAGGGTGCCCAAATTCAATGCCGAGCCCGTAGCACCCCGAATTCCGTGGTTGTCTTGAAAAAATTGTAATGATCGAGACAGACCATATCGGACTCCTAGAGAAACTATTTTAAATAGACGATATATAATATACGATGAAAACGAGCGTGCGTTGTCGACGAACGACTTATTATACTGTTAGTACCTACCTTTAACGACATTATTACATATTAAAGAATACGAATAATTTGTTTTGCATAAAATATTGTCAGCTTATATTATAATCATTAATGGATTCGAATTAATAATTAATCGATTTAAGAGATATCAAACGTACCTATGCAATGGACAGGTTTCCTCGAAAATATATATTTGGTACTTAAGCCTTCAAATATATTTTTGGATGATTTGTACCTTCAGTATATGGGTATATGCGTACATAATGTATTATGTTCTATGCACCATTTTACCTCTCACTTCTCAGCCCTATCACTAATTCAGCGCATATCTATATGCATATAATATGCGTGTGGATTAGGTCGAGTTCATGTCAAGATGATTTCCGACTTAACCCGATCACAAGATATATTATGGATCATAACGATATGTACATAAGGCGGTTACCGATAAACGGCCCCGAGTATAATCAAAAACAACCACCCTCCCACCGATCCCACCCTGAAAGCACGCCATGACATCGGATGATCTCACTATAATAATTTAATGTTATGATAATATTATTGTTATGTAAATATTACTATTTATTATAAATACTATATAGACTTATCTTATACATACCTTTACAGTATATACTATGTTATACAATAATTTAGTAGGTACATGATAAATGTATTAGTAGATATATGTATTATATACCTACCCGTTATTCGTCATACGTTTATTAACTGATGTTATTACTGTTGTCCTATTGATGTATTGTATCGTATATTTTTTTAGTTTTGTAGAATGATGTCATTTTTTTTTTTTTTTTGTAGAGTAAATGTTTTTTATCTATATATTTATAAGTTATAAGTTATAACCAAGAACTCATTACATAATTATGTGACTATTTATTTATTAAACTAATGTATAAGATTATTTAATCGATGTAACGTAAGCAAACGTGGGAAATTATGTACCAAAGTGGTTTTTTTTTATATTAAACATGTTATTTTAACGAATCCCATGTGTTACCCAATATAATTACGTTATTATTTATTATCTATGTAATTCATATCGATTTATTTTTAGAAGATTATTAAAAAATAAACATTTGTAAGACATACACATACACTGATACACATAAAGAATTGTGAATATATTTATTTTTTAAATAATTACTTGAACAGACAAAATTATGCAGCTTTTGTCATTATTCTTACGATAGGCAAACATTTAATTTAATTTATACGAAATAATTTACACACATATATGTAAGCGAATTTTGTGTTTTAAATTCAACGTTGGTATAACCTCTTTATTATAAATATATAACATAAGACTATGGTACGGTTTTATCGTTCAAAAATTTAAGAGCAAATCCCTCCCCTGTCCTCCTCACCTAACTTAAACTCGTCTCTTTCGCCATAAAATCAAACTACAAAAAAAAAAATCAGCCATCCCTGTGGTCTATGGATAACTTTAGATAATTTTACTTAATATTTAAACAACTAATTGGTATCCTTTGACCTTTTTTATGACATACTATTAATTGTATTTTAGCGTGGCATCGTAGTAAGTAACGAGTGGGCGTTTTAATAAGAACTCCAAGACGTTACAAGAAATCGTGGTCTAATACATAAAATTAACATAAACACCGTAAAAGCTATACTCGCATATCAATAGAAACGAAATATTCTAGTAACAAAACTTATAAATACACATATTTCACTCTCCACTCTAATTGACTTGATAGAAAAATATCATCTATAAATTCCATATTATAAATTATTATTACGTACCTAGAATATTTTATATTACCTATTACCTATAATGACTTGCCTAGTTTTGATAGTCAATGAATGACATTGATGTAGACATATGATTTTTGATCACACCAATGTTCGTTTTCGAAAGTATCTTCTACCTATCTATTATTTAATAGGCTGATCAAATACAAGAGTGTAGGTATATCTATTTAAACACTATTGAGTGCGAAACTACCAAATATATATAAATTGTAAATATACGTTTTACGTACATGTAAAACTATATAGGTACTATTATACTGGTATAAGTGTAAAACTAAATATTTCTAAATTATTATGTGTTATCAAATAAATTTACTTTTTTTATGAAACTCGATGACAAATAATGTAATTATATAACCTACTACATGATGAAAATGTTTATGTTAATTAAAACATTCTCCATTGTAATTTTCACATTACGATGTTTCGTACCTACGTATTTAATTAATTAAGTCTAATCAGAAACAAAACATATTATAAATAATATTTAAGTAATTTTATCGTTGTTTTAATATTTTCTCAACAAAAATTAACTACATTCTATATTTTAATGTAATGAAAAATATTCAAAATAACATATTTTATATTGTTTTAACAAAATGTTGTTACATTACAAGGTCATGACATATACAGAGTGTTTTATGATGAACTGACAATTGGCAATAACTTTTATTCTATTAAACATTTTCAAATTTTTTTTTTTTTAATTATCAATTGTCGTTTACGCTACATTAAAAACATTTTTATTTGATATTTAAAAAAATAAAAATAGCCATTTTGTTGATATGATTTTTAAAACAAGATCGCAAAAAAAAAAAAAAAATGAAAAATGTTCAACTGTTTATTTTCTACGATTTTTTGAAGTTTGCACAATTTTATATTATTTCAAATAGATTTTCTGGATAATCGATAATCACTATAATACTGATAAACAAGAAATAAATTTGAATTTAAGCAAACTATAAAAATTATTTAAAAATTATTGACTCAACCTAAGTGAAATTTTTGACACCAACATTTTTCTAAACTCGAATTTACAAAATGGCTTAAATGTTTTTAAATATCAAATCGAAAAATATTTTAAATGTAGCGCAGACGACAATTGACAATTTAAAAAAAAAAAAAAATTGAAAATATTCAATAGAACAAAAGTTATTGCAATTGCAATACACTCTGTGTATATATTTATTTAGAAATTAAAGCATTTAAAATGATACTTTAATAAAAATAGCACCATTTACTCAAAATTTATTTTTTTTAAAAAAATATTTTATATTTTCATGTAATTTAGGAACTATTATTTTTTTTTTTTTTTATCAAACTACACTTCAGATCTAATAAGTCATGGATTTTTTGATTTAGATATTAGGTGCAGCTTGACATTTTAATACAAGGTTAGTTACAACTTACATATTCATTAGTCTTTATATTGGCTTTACAATTTCGAACACAAAATCTAGCATTGCATTAAAATTTTTAAAAATACAACACCAGTGTCTTGAGTAGCAAACAGTGTTCAACGTAGTAAATAATCATCAACTATATATATTTTTTTTAATTAAGTAAGTAATACCTATAATTTTAAATTATATATAAACACAGCTACATGCAAAAATTAATTGCGATATTGAAGTAAATATTAATTAAAAACATCATTTCAGTAAATATAAAAACAAAATATTTAATTGTAAAAAGTTAATCATACAAATAATCACATTTTGTATGTATAAAAAATATTCATTTCTATGGTTCAAAGTGATTAAAACTTAATTCATTTATGTTGACTTAGCGCTGTTATTACCAATACTCCGAGGCGCACTGGAAGATGGCCCTTGTAGTACTTTTCTTGAAAGTCGCATTAATCCTGAAACAGGATCTCGGCCAAAGTATTTTATTTGAATCTCATGTCCTTCTTCTATGCCTAATGCACTTGGATGGTTTATCTAATGGTATTAAAATATTAAATTAAAAAAATATACTTAAAAAATGTTGTAAGAAAAATAAACTTTTAATACAATATGATTATTATTATTATCAATATTCAATACTTAAAAAAATTTATTTACTTTTCTTTGATCTAATTGAGAATTGTGAACCAAAGTTGGCTGCATAGTTGGATATAATGTAACCATAACTCCAATTTCTCGTACTTCAACTACTTTTGCTTTATAAATAGCTCCAAATTCCAGTTGAGGTTCTGATTTTTCAGCCATAAGCTTATCAACTGTTTCTTTAGCTTCATTCAATGCATCTTGATTAGGTGCAAATATTGTAAACCCATCATTTTCGGTATTAGAAGAAATCTATAGAAAAATCAATAGTTTATACAACCATAAAACATGATATATACAATTAATTAAGAGTTATAATTACTTGTGCACCAGTTTCTAGCATAATACGCTTTAAATTAATTCCACCTGGACCGAGTAGTTTACCCTTTTTATGTATTGGTATATTTAATGTCTCTGTTACTGGCCAATTATCTTTTTTTTGTTTCCTAAAGTCAGACATTTTAATATTAGATGTGAAGAAATTTTGACCACAAAATAAAATATCATACTTTATACTTTGAATAGTTGTATTCATAATATTTATAATTTTATGTTTAGCGCTTGTAGCAGCTTCTATTGTTTCCATAACAATCTTTAATGGTAAGCCAGGAATTTTTATATCAGCTTGTAATGCTGTAATGCCTTTTTTCGTACCAGCTAACTTAAAATCCATATCACCTAAATAATCTTCAATTCCCTGAATTATTTAGAATTTAAATATAAATAATAAAATTAAGATTATATTTAAAAATAGTATTTGGTTTAATATTTATTACATTTAAAAAAATACATATACACATTAATATTCTTACTAGTATATCAGTCAAAATTCTATAGTCTTTAATATGCGTAGAGTCACTATCATCATAATTAGTGATCAAGCCAATAGCTACTCCAGCAGCTGGTTGAGAAATAGGTACACCAGCATCCAATAAAGCTAAACTACCACCACACACAGATGCCATAGACGACGACCCTACAAACCTAACAATTTTAGTAAAAACATTCAAAATTACAAAAGAAAGCTTTTTTAAAATGTGCACATACCATTTGATTCAAGAACCTCTGATGTAAGTCGTATTGTGAACGGAAAGTTTTCAGGAACAATTGATCTTAATCCTCGTTCAGCTAAAGCACCATGACCGACTTCACGACGCATAGATGGACCCATTCGACCAATATCATTGGTTGCATATGGAGGGAACTCATAGTGTAAAAAAAAGTTCTTCTCATTGATACCACTAAAAATAAATTCAAGGTTAATCAATTGTATTCAAAGATAATTTATTTATAAAACATACTAATAACAACATATTAGGCTAACCTTGTTAATATAGTCATTGGATCAAGTTTAAGTGCAGAATCTATTGAGTCTAAAGCAACAGTACAAAAAACTTGGGTCTGTCCTCTTTGAAACAACGCTGACCCGTGTAACGGCTTATATAAATCAACTTCACATGATATGTTTCGAAGTTCATCAAGATTACGACCATCACATCTAAAAATTAAAATGTCATTAATAAGTGTAAACATAAGGTCATTTTTACAAATTTAATTACCTAGTATTATTTTCAAAAATCAAATCTCGAAAAATTCGCTTACAAATTTTATCAAAAATTATTGAACAAAGTTCTAAATTTAAGTTATCGAAATTTGATTTAAGATTTTCAAAGACTTCCGTTTTTACATCCTTGACAGCTGTGTCTCTAGATATTTTATGATGGTCAACATTAGTAAATATTTCTCTAAGTTTAATTTCACATAAACTATCAATAACAGTTTCTAAATTTCCATTGGTGTCATCTACATTCTTTGTCTCAAACTCTCTTTTAGGTTTGCCAAATTCTTTTTGTAAATTATTAATACAATTTACTATATGCTGACATTCTTTGACACCAAATTTAATTGCTTTTAAAACGTCTTGTTGGAGAA